CATTCTCCTTCTGACTTCATCATCAGCTCAACTAGAAAAGTAATAGAATTTAATCAGATTTGGTTTCCTTAATGCACAGCATTTCCTACTTAATATCCTGAAACCACAAAACCAGCATTGATAATGGTTATATGCAGTGTTCTTCAAATGCAAATTCAAACCTTGTCAAATGCCGGAAAACTGTATCACAGGTTCACAACACTATACTACATATTACTGTATATAAAGATATCAGCTTGAGTTTAATACTGTATAAGTACTGCACGTAATTTACTGCTGACATTTGATGTAATTTATGTATGGATCCATGAATATTAATCATGCTTGAAGGAGTGATCTACTGCTGAGCCAGGAGATAAATCAAATGAACTTGACAGTTCATCAACTATTGTAATTGTACAGGATTACCTGTATAAAAACTCGTTTCTGAAATAACCAACAATGTACAATTGAGATTAATTCGAAAACTGCGATTGGAAAATATTATTTTTGCGCATTTTGAACCATAACAATCAAATTTTCAATTTGTTGAATGTCTTGTAAATGTATGGCCAGTTTTAGGTCGAAACAACCCCCCTAACTTTAATCATGGAGTTTGAGTTGAGGTTGATAAAAATTCAGTACAGAAAACAATAATATAGTTTTTGCATGACTTTGTGTTCCAGCCCAGAAATTGATGAAGGTTGGAGCTAAAGCTATATACTGTACAGTACAGTGCATTTATTTTTAAAATTTTCCATATGAATTTGAGTAGGTACTGTAATTCATGTCAGGAGCTCAGGACCAAATAGGTTTTTCAAAATTTAATTAAATTCCAAAATCTTAGAGGGACCAGGAAAATAAGTTAGCTTTTGTATGCTTTCTCTCTGAAGATTGGTCAATTGGTTTAATGAATTAAATGTTACCTGGGAACAGGCTGAACACCTTGTGATTTAATTTGTGCTCAGTGCACAGATGGACTCTTTCTATATAGACAACAAAATTCAAGGGTCCAGAAAAAGTTTGTTGCAGGGGAATTTTGTATGAGAATGCTTTTAACCTGGGGAGAAACCCCTATGCAGAATGGGGGTCAGAAAAAATGTTATATCATGAAATGTATTTTAGAGAAGATTGTGCTAGAGAGTCCACCTGTAAATCCCAGGTGCCCATGACCCCAATTGTCATGAAAATAAAGATGGAAACTCATACATTTGTATCATTCATGGATTTGCATGCACTGTAATGTTTTTTTTATACCCATGTATATAGTGAATATTTGTATTTATGATATGCTGGAATGTTTCTGAATGGCTATGTTTGTGGGGGGGGGGGGGGCATTGTTCAAACTTTCTGAATGCTGACAAGTGGCAAATCAAGCTTCATGTGTCTGGATTGTGCATAACAATTAGGTTGGTTGGAGGACATTTTCTTCTCAACACCATTGCTTTCATTTCCCGCCTAATCTTGTGAAGTGAAGTTACTCAGTATGTGTGAAACATTGAGGCAGACTGGCGCGCCCATATCTGGCTGTCTTTGTGTGAAGTGAAAGAAGTTTCCAGGGTACCTTCCAGTCTCTTGGAAAACTGCGTCGGGTTGAAACCCTGCTTGGAACCCTGAGAAAATCTTGTAAAGAGGGCTTTTCAAACTCTCTTCATACATTGATTATATTATGAAACAGTGTTTGTGTGCGCCCGTGTGGCAATAACAACTCAAGTTGAGAAGGCGCATTTAAAAAATTGTATTTAAGCAAAATTGTTACCCATTATTTAGCAGTTTACATTCAGACCTCATGGAGAATCTTTTCCCTTCTGTTATCTGTGGTTTTATTCTGGGAACCCAGGAAATATAGATGAAGTGTAATAAAAATGTACTTGATGCTTTTCAAGAGGAAGTGAGTGCATATTGGTACATATATACCCTTTGCCTTGATGTTCAGCATCCTGTGATGTCATTTATCACAATAAGATTTGATATATCCAGAAAATTAAAAATTTTATGTTCCTGCTGTGATACTCTAACCCACCCCCCCCCCCCCAATGCAAAATGCTGGTTTCCCTATATAATAATTGAAAAAAAAGCATGAAGTAGGAGGAAATATTTAATTGTCGGTCTGTCTGAGTTCAACTGAGAGAATAATGAATATCTACAGTAGTACAGTACAATAGAATGTTGTTAGAACAAATCTGTTTATGACAAAATTTTGCTTAAAATGGATTTTTTCCAAGTCCTGTATACTTAATAAGTTTCGGCTTAAATTGATCATGTTTCAATGAATAACTTTTCTATACCGACTCCACAGTTATAATGATTTTTTTCATTAATTTTCAAAATTTTCATTTCAATTTTGAATTTTCAGATTTTTTTCCTGATTTCTAAATTTCTGGTCCCCAGCAATTTTCATAGGGTCCCAATTTCCTGGGGCTCATCATCCCTATAGATCTGGTGATCAGGAAATGTGTCAGCAGCAGAATTGCACATTTGAAAATACATTGAGCTAAAAATGGGCTAGCATTAGCTGCAAAAATGATGTATCCTTATTAATCTAACATCCAATGTTTCAGGAGCCTATATACAAGCACAGTGTCAAGCTATAGCCAACAGAATCTGTACTTTTTCCAATGCTTTTCTTTGTTGAGTTTTAATTTTAATTTTTTAATTCATTGTCAAATCTAAACATTTCATATACAGTATATTTGTAATAAAATATTTATTCGTGACATAGCGGAAAAATTGACTACAGTTCTTCAGGCAATACGTTTTTTTTAACAGATGATGGAATGTTTTTCTTTGAATAAATCCATCACTCTTGATATAACGAATTTTTCACTACAACGATTTTTTTTCAGTCTCTGGGATTTTGTTGTAACAAGATTCTACTGTACTATACCAATCGTGTAGATCAGTTTTTTTTAAATATATTTTCAAAGGACAAAGCCAACAGTATCAAAGCTGGCTTTTGCTGTTGGTGAAAAACAATGGGTTGGGAAATATCAAATGATTCAAATTTCTGAAGTCACCCATCAGCTGTGGACAGAAAAGCCCACTGAGACAAACTGGCGCTCCTGTCTTGCATGGGGCTGTGCGTGTGAAGCCAAGCAAGGTTTCCAGGGATCCCAGTCAGTCTGTCAGTGAACTGCGTCATGGGCAGTTATGCTACGCATTACCTTGTCAGAATCCCGGGGGAAAACCCTCGTTTTCCCCTTTGGCTTGTATTATACTCAGAAATGATTCGAGTGTCCTGCATTCAGTATATAATAAGCCCCAAAGGATGATAGTGTTTTTACATAGGGTATATATATAACACGCATTTCCCATAATGCGATTCATTCGCCTTTCAGCAGTGTAATCCGCGCCGTCGATACCAGCATGTGAAATCACAGTGAGAATTATTTTGATATTTATAGCAAGCAACATCTTTTTTTTTTTCAGACCACAACGATGAAATTGTGTCTTTGTTTATTTATACCGCTATAATAAGGTGCGAAAAACACAGGAGTTAGTTTGAAATTGTTGTCAGTGGTCATATATACTTTCCTGATGGTCTAGAAGATTTGGTTGGGCAGATAAATTTCTCTTGAAATGTATATTTCATAATTTTCTTTCCGATGCACAGCGCGGGTTATTGTGTTTAACGAATGACGAATTATGATTTGACAAGTGACGAATTATGATTTGACAAGCGACTCAAGAAAACTGTTGAAATATTTGAAAAAAGGAGTGACTTCAGCCAAAAATGCGTTCCACTTGATGAAAGAAATTTCATCAATTTAAGAAAATTATATCTTTAAACTTTTTGAAATCCGTGACAAGGCAAGGGAAAAGGTTGCAGATTAAGGCCTGATTTAACTGTGGCATATATCAACAATTAAAAACTTGCGAGAAAAATTGTTTGTCCATCTAGAAAAAAAAAAAGAATTTCCTTGCACCAGGAATTTTCCATGTCTTGTATTTTTTTTAGTATAGAAAGCTCCAAATATTTTCTTTAATTCTATGCAGAGTAACACTTCAATTTTCCTCACCCTGATGATAGAAGTGTAGAGAGAAGAATGAACTAATTGAACTCATCTTAAGTGCAAGAAAAATTTAGCACCTACAAGTACAGGCAGTCCACTGTAATAAAATTAAACAGCATTTAAAAAATCGAAACAATTGTCTTGTAGAAATTGGCTGAGTTTTGATTTTTTTAAATTTGAGACTTCTTTTTGCTGGTGATGCTGAGTGTGAAGGTTTTAATTATCTCTAAAGGGATGAATAGAAAGTTGGAACTACAATAATGGAAAAAAATTCTGGTCATCTGATGAACAACGGTTTTCTTCTATAGATACTGTATGTATTTATTTCTCTGCTATCAATAAAAACACACTGAATACTTCTTTGGAGGATCCAAACTAAAAAAAAAAGTATGGTAGTGAAAGAAATACTACATATATATTATAACTTAATGTAAATTGTTCCCTTTATTATTAGTTATGAAAAAGTTGTCTCAATTTTGCTCATCTGTGAAAATAATCTTCATTTGTGTGATTTTTTCATTAGGCCTTATCTAAACGTCTCTCAAAAATGTTCAACATTTGAGTTTAAAATAAAGGAAGCTCTACACCAATCTACCTACTTTTAAAATTTTCTTTTACACTGGCAAAAATATACAGAAATATTTTTCAATTGATGTCGAAATTATGGTGCATTTTTAAAATGATGTCATTGACGAAATTTTCTTTGCATGAAAGATGAAACTGAATTGTTCAAGTTGTTTGTGGTTCCTCGTGATCTTTATCTGGAATATTCGAATGGTGCAAATAATCTTCGTTTGTTTGATTTTTTTCATTAGGCCTTATCTAAACGTCTCTCAAAAATGTTCAAAATTTGAGTTTTAAAAAAGGAAGCTCTACACCAATCCACTTACTTTTAAAATTTTCTTTTACACTGGCAAAAATATACAGTAAATATTTTTTTATTTGATGTCGAAATTATGGTGCATTTTTAAAATGTTGTCATTGACGAAATTTTCTTTGCATGAAACTGAATTGTTCAAGTTGTTTGTGGTTCCTCGTGATCTTTATCCGGAATATCCGAATATGGCGATCGCGCTGCGCTTTCCACTGCTCACCTTGACCATTGTTGTCGCGGTGCTTCTTGTCTCGGCTCATGCCCAGCAACTCCTGGACATCAAGAAAATCCCCAAACGAATCGTGAGTTGAAGCATCTCATCTCGAGAAGAAGAAGAGAATCCATGTGTTTCAAATTTCATTATTGTACTTATGACGAAAAAAAATGTATTGAATTCAGAACGCGGACATGTGTCAATGCGCGCTGAGCGTGAAAACGGACGAGCGGGAGGCGCGACACAAAGCCGCTCAGAAATTTTGCGAAGCTCAAATCGGAATCTCGATCCCGGACTTTGAAACTGAAGTTCAAGGTAAATATAATCAATTATTGAGGCTTTTTTTTTGTTTCTTACTTTCTCAACAACAACAACAACAAAAAGCACGAACGTTTCATGAATTTTCATCTCTTGATGCTGCTTATATATATTGATTACGAAAGTTGAAGTTCGGAAGCCGTTGCCCCGAGGTTTGGCTCAGTGGACCCGGAAACAAGTGGAAACCGAAGGAGTCGACTACAAGTGCCTCAACCAACTTCGGGAATTTTACTTCTTCCAAAAGAAATTGTCAACGTTTTTTGACACTCTTGAAAAGACTGTGAAAGACGACTACGCTCGCTGTTTCGGCATCCAGATGAAATGGGTAATTTTTTTTGGTTTTATTTACAGACAATTCATACTTCAGTGAAAATTGTTCGAAATCTAAATAAAACACTAACATGTTCCAACATCAAGAAAACGCCTTTGTATGTAATCTTACGTGACACTTGGTATTTTTCCTTTGAAAGGTGATTCATATTCTCTTTGCAGAGAATTTACGCAATTTTACGTCAATTTATATAACACATTTCAATGGAATTGGTCATTGTATATATATATTTTTTTAACTATATTTTTAAACCTCGAAAGGATCAATAGTAACGTTTTTCGTTTTGGGAAATTATGAGAGTAAATAATTCTCAATCACTTCTGGAATTTGTGATAAAATATTTATTTTTTTACTGCCACTTGAGCACGCAATAAAAAGGCTTCAAGTTTGCTAAAAAAAAATTAAATAAATTTGTGCAATGTCCATTACGACGTGTATTTTTACAGTTTTTTCCTCAATTGCTCTGGTTTCAAATTTTACTGAAAAATCGTGCTTTTCGAAATCAGTTGCTTTACTTGGAAGCGATCGATTAGGAATTTCGGAAATATGTACATTATTGAAGCGCTTTTTCTTGCTACTGGAATTCTGCTGTTATGAAATATTTTTTCCATACGATTTCGTTGAGTCTTGATTATGCACTTGAATAATTTCGAAATTATTTGCATTCTAATCAGAAAAAATATTTTCATGCGAGAACAATCCGATACTTGCAGCAAACTCGGAAATTTTTGAATACTGTACAGCAGTACGCTGATGGGAAAAACGCTTTCTTGGGTTCAGATGCACCGAATCATATGCTTGAGGGTTAAAATAATGACGCTTAATTTTCAAATACAAATTTTAATTTAAATACTAATAATGCGTGGCTATAGCATGCAAAATAAGGAATATTTTTACCCGTATTAAAGAGGTTTGTGTATATAATGCCATACTCTTACTAACAAATAATTTCCAACCTTCAAATGAAAAATGGGAATTCGGAAAATTTGTTCTCTCGCGCTTCAAAAACTTTCGATTCATCGAAATTGAAGCTTTTTTCCGAACATAAGAGGAAGTTCAAAACATTGCTGAAAAGTTGGCATGATGGTGATGATGATGATGATGAATATTTTATTCAACAAAACCACAGCTCAACCCAACAACTGGGGACTTGGACAAGGTCGTCATTCGCCAAGAAATCGCAGGGTCCGAGCTTCTGAACCCGAAACTCCGTCAGTCCTTGGAACTTCTTTCTCTCACGTGTCGAGGGAAGACAATCGATGACGTGAGTCTCGAAAACAAATAAATTCAAAAATCAGTCAATCTATCACAAAAATCCATTTATTCTTCCATATAGTTGGAGTCATATATCAGATGCGCAACAAAGCCCTGTGCTGACCCTGAATTCTTCGAATTGATCGGCAAGAAACCGACCGAATCGGGTCCCTGAAGGGAATAATTAATGGTTCAGCTTTTGGGAAGAAGAAAAAAAAAAGGTGTCGACGAGAAGCATCGCAACAAGGCATGGCATTCAAGCAAAGCATCAACGACTTGTCAAATAAAAATTCAAAAAAAATTGCTATCCTTTGTACAGCTGTGAAGAGTCAAAATTTGGTAACGACCTCACCGGAATTCACTGGAGAGAAAATGAAAGGAACAAGTCTTTTTTTTTTTGAATATCGAAATTGTTTCATTGATATTTCCAACGAAGACAATGAATCAAATGTTTTGCTGTTTTTCAGAAACAAGATTCAATGACACGAAGAACATTTTTAAATAAATCATATACAAAACTGAAGGTTTCACTCAATACAGTATTAGAATATACAGTAATATACAGTACAGAATGTGAGATTTCTATTGTTATCTTAAAAAAAAACCTTGATACCAGCACATTTTAAGCCACCTTAACAAGTCTTTTTTTTTTGTGTATCGACATTTTTTCATTGATATTTCCAACGAAGACAATGAATCAAATGTTTTGCTGTTTTTCAGAAACAATATTCAATGACATGAAGAAGAATTTTCAAATAAATCTTTAACAAAATTGAAGGTTTCAATCAATATTGAATATACAGTATCAGAGAATGTGAGATTTCTATTGTTATCTTTAAAAAAACCTTGATACCAGCATATTTTAAGCCACCTTAATTCGTAACTTCTTGGTTCTAACATCTGTTTTTCCCAATTTCCAATAACACTGTTATCTAAAAAACGGGGCTAAATCTCACAACTCTTCCAGGAAACTCTCCAAAAAAAGATGTGCAAAAGTATCATCTCAATAGCACAAGGAATTACTCACAAACTCAATAAATCAATTTCATTTTCAGAAGTCCCAAATAATTTGGCATGGAGAAGTTCAATTGTAAAATTTTGTTGCAATGAATGAATGAATGAACAAAACACTTTATCTGCCGCTTTTCAGCGTTCACAAGGTTCACTCAAGATTTCCACAACCATTATTATTGTTGCAATAACAAAGCTTTTGGGACCTGAAGAAAACCTTTGTTATACTGGATACAGTAATTACAAAATAATGCATGAGAGTCAAATAGCATTGTGGCAATACTGGAGGGAATTCAATCAAAATCATGATTAGCTATACTGAAATCATGTTTTAACAAGATTCTATACTCCATTCAAAAATGTGCAAGTCCCAAAGAAAAAAATTTGATACCTAAAAAATATAGCAAAAAAATTCTCTTTTTCTCTCTCTCATCCCCCCTAAAAAATGCAAGGGACCAGGAAAAAATGCATTGTACAGAGAATTTTATTTTAGAGAAGTAGAGAACCCCTACAAAAATGAGAAAGAACCCTTCACGGGACTGGGGAAAAATTCGTTATAAAGGAAATACTGTTGTAGACATGATCGCCGTACACCGAAGAGTCCAAATGCCGGAGTAAATAATGTATATGAAAGTGTTTCTGAAAATCCCACGGAAAAGGAGAACTTTAGAAAAAAAAGACCCAAGATTATATTTATAATTAAAAATAAAAGAAACCGAGAAGCCACTTCGCGTGTTGCTTCTGTTCTTCCCACGTTGCAAATGATGCAACAACGAGCCAGAGCAGTAATTAAGCAAGGAATTATTGATGCAATGTATAGTGACCTTGTGAATATTATGACAGACATCTTTTCTCCGCACACTTGGAAATGAAAACAATGGAATATACTTTACACTGATTCCTGCAACATTCTTTTTTTCTACTTTTTTTTAAAATTTCAAATGCGCGGGAAATGAAAAAAATATATACGTATCTCAGTAGACTGCGAACAAAGGATTCGCAATAACACTCGGTGCTGAATATATTTAAATGAAGTGACGGACGAAGCAAAAGTAATTTATTCCGAGCGCACTTTTCAAGGTCAAACAATGAAATGCCCGTGTGTCTTGAATATGGAAACTGACAAAAGATCCATCCGAAGAATGTACTTATTTTTTTCAGAAAAATACACTGATTTAAGATACTTCGTCAGATGAGCAGAAAATCTACGATCGTTTATATTTGAACGGAGAGAACACGATATGCAAGACCAAATTGATACACAGTCTTACCAAATTTTGAATCTATTCTTTGCCATGTATATAAAATGCATTTTCTCGAAAAACGGACACTAAATATTTTATTGAAAATTACCAAATTGACACAGCACGCGTGAACATTTCCAGTGTGACAGCGCAAGCATATTGATTTTTTTTTCAAAGCAAAAGACACAAAGTGAAAAAAGGAAAATTTGTAAATGCTCATGATGTTTCTTTTCTCTCTTATATCACGATATGGCTTGAATTTTATGGGGATGATTGAGTAAAAACTTGTTATTAATGGGATAATATGAAGACCTCATAAGCATAATGTCAGTGAACATCTTTGCAAACTTGGATATGAAACCAATAAGCCACATTTTTCAATGAAATCTCGAACACGAGAAATGAAATTGAAATTAGGTTCCCTTTCGAGAAATATGCAAAAATCGCTCAAAACAATACTGGACGAATATGATTAGATTTACTTCAGGGTTTGAAATTTTCAGCACCTGAGAGAAATCCTTCTTGAAATATTTTCAAGCTAGGTCACTTACATTTTTGCATAAATGAACAATAAGGTAGATAAATATTTGATGTCAAATCAAATTTTATACAATGTATAAATTATTATATTATTTCGTGGAAGCAAACAGCTAATATGAAATTTTATAGCAGAACTTAATTGACGAATTCATCAATAAAGGAAACATTTTACATTGAAAAACAGTGAAATGAAAAAATCGAAAGTAACATGCCTTCCAAATTGAAATCTTTATATTTGCCCTGAAAAATAGCTTCCTCGCACATTTTTTTATGAAAATCAAAAAAATTGCAGATTACTCTTGGATTTAATTTTAACTGGATATAATGTGTATACGTGCCTCATCAGTAGGTTTTGCTTATAATCTTGTGGCCTGATTTCTTTTTTTTTAATTATGAAGATGAGAAACTATTGACAGTGAGTCCCTAAACATCATGCACCTATTTCTAGAATATCAAATATAATGCTGACACAGTATATTCCTCATAAAAATTCAAAAACGGTGCATTCCAGCTTCATTAGAATAAAATTTTCATTGGGAGAGAGTAAAATGTACTAAATTGAAATTAGCCATGAAATTCCCAGTCCACAACTTTCTGAAATTTGCATGTTTTTGAGGCTTGGAATGTGGGAAAACGGTTTCCTGAAGTCTTTATTACTACTTTTGTTTTGATTAAAAAAATCCTAAATTTCAAACCCACAAGGGCGAGATCTATAAAATGTGTTGCCTGGAATTTTTATTCCATCCAAATAAAGTGTGTTTTGCAAGTATTTTTTCCTCACAAAGAATTCGTTTACAAATTTTTATATGTAGGATCTTTGTTCAGCACTGACCAGATATACTCAATATTGAATTTTGTGTTCACTGTCATGGGTCCATTGGATCCCAGACAAAGGAATTGAATTGTGCAG